CACATATAAGATCTTCATGTTAATATGACTAAATTCCAAACACACTTGGTCATACATATGTGTGGATTCACAGAACATAGACATAGATACCCACATACATTACAGCATATAACCACATGCTGGCATATCCTTGTAATGGCATAGACTTTCTTTCTTAAGGGCACATAGAAGTCTCTTATTTTGGTCTCACCCCAACCCAGGAATTCCATGATCTTTTCCAGGACCTGGACAAAGGGAAGGGACTCTAAGTCCAGACTGCTATCACTTATCCCACCTCCTCCCCCATGCCACATTCTTCGCTTTTGTGCTCAAGGCTTGGCACGTAGATATGTGTATTAATAGGGAAACTCTCATCTCCTAACTGCCCAGCAAAGGCAGCTCAGTTTTCATAATGGGACAAAGAAGGTCACATTGACCCTGGCCTCATCTAGGTTTATTTATCTGGGCCAATGTGGACATCTGCCCTCATGCTTCAGAGATGCTACAGGAAGCATTGTTCATGGGGCAGCAGAGAGGACCTTAGAACGATAGACTATTATAGAAATAAGATGGAATCTTAGATGTGGGGTAAGCTTAGAGGGTAAAGGTATCCCCACAGACCTCACTCTGTGACCTTGAATAGATTACTCAGCTTCTCTAGAGCTGAATTTTCCCATTTGGAAAGGAAATAAATTCTCTTTTCCACTTTATTTTATCCCATAACTACCTACTTTCCTTCACTTCAAACTTGAAGTTTACCACAAAGATAAATGCGAGATTACATAGAAAAGTATCTTAGCAATAAAAGAATGTCCTGGTATTGATGGAAATAGTCAATGCTCAGCTCTGAATTAACAGGAAAATAGGAGCATGTGTTTTTTTATTTTTGTGAATCCTCACCCAAGGATATTTTTCCCATAGATTTTTAGAGAGAGTAGAAGGGAGGGGGAGAGACAGAGAGAGAAACATTTGCATGCAGCACTCTGACCAGGGCCAGGGAATGAGCCTGCAACCCAGGCATGTGCCCTTGACCGGAATTGAACGCGGGACCCTTCAGTCTGCGGGCCGACGCTCTATCCACTGAGCCCAACTGGCTAGGGTGGAGCATGTTTTTTTAAATTACATTTGGCTTTGGAAAATAGCTAGAAAGACAGAGTAGGCCATTCACAAATGTTTTCCAATCTTCACATTTGGCCTCATTGCTGTTAGGTTTCTGATCTCCTCTGTGGCTCTTCACCCCTTTCAATGGCCTGGGGAAGTGGTGAGTGTTGTTAAATACACCATGTCAGAGGTCAGAGACACTAAGAGGATCATGTACACTATACGTATTCATAGTTCCCAAAAGTTTACACCACTGCAAACTATGAATTCACCCTTCTCATAAAATTGCAACGAACACAGGTTACCCCTAGGGCTTTGGGCAAAATGCTTGCTGGCCTGCTGCCATAGCCTAACCGAGGTTCCAGGTGTAAATGGACAGATCTCTCTGTTCTAATAAACAGGCATGGAGGTAGCTTTTGCAAACTGGCACAATAGCAGGTTGATAACATTTTGTAAGATGTTGGTAACAAATCCCTGGGAAATCTTTAGGCTGAAATAGTATGTGGGCTTGAGCAGGTGTTTTCAGGAGCAACGAAGAGAACAAACAAGTCTAACCTGAGATCTTGGGAGGTCAATGTGACCTAGAGCAGCGGTTCTCAACCTGTGGGTCGCGACCCCTTTGGGGGTCGAACGACCCTTTCACAGGGGTCGCCTAAGACCATCGGAAAAACACATATATAATTACATATTGTTTTTGTGATTAATCACTAGGCTTTAATTATGTTCAATTTGTAACAATGAAATTGGGGGGTCACCACAACATGAGGAACTGTATTAGAGGGTCGCGGCATTAGGAAGGTTGAGAACCACTGCTCTAGATAATATATAAGTATCATTGGAAAGATACGGGAACTTCCTGGGGATAAATTCTGTCCTGTTTTACACACACACACACACACACACACACACACACACACACACACGTCATCCCTCACCTAAGCATACTCGGTATATTCATTTCATATATATATATATACATATATGAAAAAACTTCTCATATTTATATAGGAATTCACCAAAAACATTTAAATATATAAACCATAGGTTAAAAAAAACAAACTCATTCAACTTCCCTCACTTTTGTTAGCTTTCCCATCAAGTCAGTAAGTACCCTCAGAGATGTGAGATATGTAGAACATGAAATAGGAGAGAAAGGCTGAGGGCAGGAGGCAAAAATCTGTTAGGGCTGGTGAAGATGCAGCAAGGAAGGTGTTTTGTTTTTCTCAAAGCTGGGGCCAGCAACTACCACCTGTGGGGTCAATCCTGCCCCAGCCTGTGTTTTTTGTTGTTATTGTTGATTGTTTTTCAGCAGCAAAATTGTGCCTCAGATAAACCTCATTGGCTACTGCCACTGCACAAAGCTAGCCCCAGCCTGGTTTCTGTACAGGGTTTCATTGGAGCACTGCCATGCCCTTCACTTACACATCACTCACCCTACAATAGAGTAGTCACCATACCCGATGGCCTACAAAACCAGAAATATTTACTATCTGGCCCTTTACAGAAAAATTTAACTCCTGCCTCAAAGGGTCAAAGAAGGAAACTGAGATGTTTATAAGAATTGGGATGCCCTGGCCTCAGCTGGTTAGAACGTCGTCCAGATACACCAAGGTTGCAGATTCAATCCCCGGTCAGGGCACATATTAAGAATCAACCAATGAATGCATAAATAAGTGGGACAACAAACTGATATTTCTCTCTTGCTCCCTTCCTCTCTGTAAAATAAAGTAATTAATTTAAAAAAAAAAAGAATGAGGAAAAACCCTGAATAAGGAGGAGGCAACAAGGTTTAAAGTAGATAGCAAGGGTCAGTCATCAGCAACATAATATATGCATTTCTGCGGGGACGGTGCTCTGCCAAGTACAAAGGAAGTTCACAGATTAGTTTGTGCCTTTAGATTAATAAGCAAGTAAGCAAAGTATATTACTTTGATAGAGATAAGGGGAAGAAAGAGAGGAGTAAAAAACTGCATGTTTACACAGGGAGTTCTGGCTATCTGAGAAACCTTGCCAGAAAGTGTAGGATTTGCTAGGACTGCTTGAACAAAGAAAGATCAAGGGTATTGCACAGTGAGTCCAAACTTCTTTTTTCCCCCCTTTCTGAGTTCATCTAAGATCTTTTTTTTTACTTGTGGAAAAATATACATAACATAAAATTGGCCATTTTAGCCCTGGTAACTCAGTTGGTTAGCACGTCGTCCTGATACGCCAAGGTTTTGGGTTCAATCCCCTGTTAGGGCACATACAAGAAGCAACCAATGAATGCATAAATAAGTGGAACAACACATTGATGTTTCTCTCTCCCTTCCTCTCTCTCTCTCTAAAGTCAATAAATAAAAAATTTTTTTAATTGGCCATTTTAACCATTTAAAAATGTATACTTCAGTGGTAGTAAGAACATTCACATTGTTTTGTTGGGCAACCATGGCTAAGGTCCTGTCAATACGAGATGAAATTAGAAACCAATTACTGTATAACAAGGGGAAAGAGGAATGCAATGGTTAGGACATAGAGTCATTACACTCTATTTTAAGTACAGGAGGTGGGAGGGCTGGGAAGAGGAGGGACAGGGACAGACCTGTTGATCTATTGTTGTATTGTTGGTCACCATGAAAACAATAGCACTGGACTCCGTTCTGCCCATCCATCCTGCTTTTTAAGGCTGTCAGAGTCAATCCACCTGTTTCCCTGGATCAAGAGAAGATTATCTGTTCAAATCTACCAGCCTCAGGAATGCATGGTGTTTCAACAGCCCTTTGGTTTGTGGAAGATGAGGTCTGCTTTTTCACTAGGGCAAAGGGAGGTTCAAGAGTGCCCCCTGCTGACCAGCACCCAGATGACAAAGTCTCATTTCTGCTTCCTTAGACCCTCTCCTCAGACTTCTCCCAAGAGAGTTGGAAAAATTCTTAGGCGATCAGGGTAGAGTTTACTGAGGCTTAGATCTCTGCTCTTCCTTTTCAATTCCTGGGGGGACGGGGGAATCAAAGTGTACAGTTACTCTACCAAGCAAATTACTTATTGTCTGTGGGAGTCCTTTCCTCTGAATGGTCTCATTGCTCAGTATTTCTTTTTTTTTTTTTAAATATATTTTTATTGATGTCAGAGAGGAAGGGAGAGGGAGAGATAGAAACATCAATGATCAGAGAGTAACATTGATTGGCTGCCTTTGCACATCCCACATTGGGGATTGAGCCCACAACCTGAGCACGTGCCCTGATTGGGAATCGAATAGTGACCTTCTAGTTCGTAGGTTGATGTTCAACCACTGGGCCGCACTGGCTGGGCCAAACCATTTACTCTTTTTTTTTAAAATATATATTTTATTGTTTTTTTACAGAGAGGAAGGGAGAGGGATACAGAGTTAGAAACATCGATCAGCTGCCTCCTGCACACCTCCTACTGGGGATGTGCCCGCAATCAAGGTACATGCCCTTGACCAGAATCGAACCTGGGACCTTTCAGTTCACAGGCCGACGCTCTATCCACTAAGCCAAACCGGTTAGGGCAAAACCATTTACTCTTAAGTGTCTTTGGTTTAGGGGAATTAGGATTTACCAGATGACTGCAAATTGCTTGGGATCTAGATTTTCTAGATGGTTGTAGATTGCTGTTGAACTATGACTGTTTCCCTATTTCACTTTCCTGGCTTCCTGGCCTATCTCAGCTACCATCCATAATAGAGGATTCCTTCCTGATAAAATAGGGGCATGAGACCTTCCTCGCCTACAAAAGGAATTGTAAGCAACGATTGACTACCAGGTCCCGAATCATTTAAGGTGAGAGGGGCTGGCAGGTTGGTAAATCGCGGGTGCATATTGACTCTCTAAAGTAACAGGGGAAAGACTAGTATTCTCAAGACGAAGTTCGTAACTGATGCAAACAGAACGAGACATTTGCCACCCTGCCCATCTCTTCCTCACCCCGACTTTCCTTCGTTGCCTTTCAGGAGATGGACGAGAACCCACCACAGTTGGGTTCTTGGGAAGATGAGGCCCCCGGAGTCCCAGCTTTTCTTAGCACCTGGTTGCAGGGCCGGTGTGGGATGGGTGGAAGCAGCGGATTGTAGGATATTCTCTCCTAGAGATGCAGGGTGCCCCAGCGGGTGGGGAGGTGGTGGTGGGTCAGCACTGGGGGCTCCCCGACGGGCGGGAGAGGCTAGACCCGACGCGCCTCCGGTTACCATGGTAACCTTCCTTCTCCCCAACCCCGCCCCTCTTTACTGGCCCCAGGGAAGGACCCGGAGCGGTCGCCCAGGGCGACTGGGAGGCCCCGCCCCTCGCTCCCGGCGCCCGGCTCCCTCCGCGGCCCGCCTTCCCGCCGGCCTGGTGCTGGGAGGGCGCGGCGGCTGTGGCGTCACATCCGGGCGGGTGGGCGAGTTCCGGTATTTCAGGGCGGAGCAGGCGGAAGTAGGCTGAGAAGCGGTTGCAGCGCGGAGCGGAGGAGGCAGGAAGGCGAACGCGAGCAGGCGCTGGGTGGGCACCATGGCCGGGATCACCACCATCGAGGCGGTGAAGCGCAAGATCCAGGTCCTGCAGCAGCAGGCCGACGACGCCGAGGAGCGGGCCGAGCGCCTCCAGCGGGAGGTGGAGGGGGAGAGGCGGGCTCGGGAGCAGGTACGGGAGGGCGCGGCGCGGGAGGGAGGGGCGGGCGATGGAACAGCTGGGACCCGGAACGGGGACCCTTTCTTGGCGGTGGAGCAGGGCGCTCGGGGGGCTGGTGGGCTCGGAGGGAGATGAAGTCAGAGACCGGAGGGTGGGTGGGTGGGGCCGGGCTTTAGCCGGACCTCCGGTGGGCGCGGGGGGACCGGGTGCCCGAGCCAGCAGGCTTGACCTCCAAAGGAATGGAGCCTCGCGGGGCCCGGGGAGTGGTTCTCCTCGTCCTGCAGCTCATTCATTCAGCCCCGCGGAGCCGGGCGCGGCCACGGGGAGGGGCTCGGCGGCCTCTCCCTCCCTCCCCCACTCCCCGTGAAGGGGGCGTCGCTTTGCTCTGGTTTGAGGTTTCCGGCCGGAGGGGTGCTTCTCCGGTCGGGGATGGGCAGGGCCTAACCTACGGTGAAAGGGTGGGGCTTGGGGGGGGGTAGGAACCCCCGGAAAGCCCCCGGCCTGGCCGGCTGGCAGCTTTTCCGCTCCCTCCTCCCGCTCAGGAAATGAGGCAGCAGTCGGCCTAGAGGAAGCGGGGTGCCCTCCCTGGAGGAGGTTGAGGCCACAGCACCGCCTCCCATCCTCTGGCCTGGGGCCCTTTCCCCTTCGGAGGAGCCCTTGCAACTGCTAAATCCCCTCTCTCCATCGACATGAAGCGCGAGGGGAGGAGGTGGTACTTCGCTCCCTGCGTTTTAGTGCAAATGTAGGAGCCGAAGGAACACGTCTGGCCCTACCCATGGGGACCGGGAAGGCAGGAACTGATGCCCCATTCAGGCGTCTCTTGCTGGAGTGTCATTGATTAGTGCAAGCTGAGCCGGGACTTCTGCCAAGCTTAGGTGGTAATCGAGTGTATGTGGCAGGGAGTGGGGAAGCGTGCCAACTTCTGTCAGGGTCTCTGATTTACCAAGCGCTGTGATCGGTGGAGATAGAGTAGTGCGTTCCTAGGTGGCTCTAGGAATATTCCTCTGTTACTTTCCCAATTATCCACCAGTGTCTTTTTTAAGTTCAATAAATATTTGTTCAACGGAAATTGGAACATAACATGTGGATGGGATGAATGGTGACTCTTGAAACCGCTTTTTGTTTAGAAGTGGTGGTGTAGTTTCAATGAGCCGCAAGCTTTCCCAGGTCTAGGGTACAGTCTACTCTAGCGGGTGGAGTTGATCCCCTGAGTTGAGGCTTTGGAGGATGGTGAGGCTGGAGAGGAAAGTAACTTGTTGAAATTTGAAAACCCGATTAAAGAACTCTTAGGGTTTTATTGGTATTCCTTGTTATATTTTCCGTTGGTAAATTTTTTTCTTCTTTTTGGCTGCTCTGTGGAGTGGGAATGCTTTGGGGGTAGAGGGTGGGGCTGCTGCCCTCCAGGTTAATACGTGAAGATTGTTAGAATACTCATTTATTGATATAACTGGGCATAGACATGCTGGGAGCTTGTCTTAGTCACCTTCTTCTCAGTGGGTTTTTCCTCTGTTCATTATGCCAGTAACTTAACTTCTAATTGTCAATTCGAGTGAGATGAACTGGCTGGGCTACTCTTTATGTCTAACAACAGTTTCTCATCTCCTTTGTTCTGGAGACCAGATCCCCTTAAAGGGGAAGCGAGAGAGGGTGGCCGAAGGAACTAGCCGCATGTTGAGCTGCAGTCTTGGGCTCAACATTTAAGTATAGGCATCCTAGGAATAGTCTAGGGTTTGGTAATTTTCCTTGTAGGAAAACCTGGTTCCCTTTTTTCCACCCTTGGTGACTTTGGGGCGATAGGCAGCCGAGTGAGCAGCTTCAGATGTTTCTTCAGCTAGCCTCGCGCTCAGAGCCTGCCACATCTGCTCACTGAGCTGAGGTCTAGGGAGGAAGTCCTCAGATGGGGAAGTGGGGTGATAGTTAAATATTGATGAAACTAATGTCTTCTCCTTCGCAGCTTGAGGGAGCCAACCTTTTGATTTCTGCTCTCGTGAACTTTGAACCCCTCCTGAGGAGGAGACACCTGTGGGAAGGGGGTGGAGGTGCTGGGGCTACTTCTTATCCTCTTAGGACCTAGGACATTCTGGAATGCGGGTTTTGCAGGCGCCTCCCTCTGGCACAGGAAGCTCAGGACTCCCTGATGCTATCGCATGCTGTTAGTGAGATTGTCGCTTAATGGTTTTTCTTGTTGCTTTGTGTGAGCATCCAGCCTGGCGGAGAAGCTGGCTGGCTCCAGAGCTGAGAGGAGGTGTTGCGGGGCCATCTTCCCTTCCTGCTTTGGCCTTGGAGGTTGACCTTTTACAATGTAGCACCTTGTCAAATCCACTTTCGATTTTGAGTCTCCTTTTCACTTCCTGCTGAACTTAATACTGAAATGTAGTCTTTTTCCTTATCTGTGTTTTTGCTGTGATGGTGGTGGTGGTAAAGATATACATAACATAAAACTTACCTTTTTAACCACTTTAATTTATTTTTAGTTTATTTTTTAATCCTTGCCTGAGGATATGTTTTTCATTGATTTTGGAGAGAGGAAGGGAAAGAGAGGAACATCTATTGGTTACCCTCCCATGTAGTTCACCTTACCTCCTAATTCCCCTGGTATTTGTCTCTTCTTTTTGTGGTCCAAAAAAAATTTAGGAATATTGTGAGGAAGGCAGTGGGCTTTGAAGAGAAGTTTCGATTCTGATTTTATTCCCAAATTCCCAGTCTCTGGAGGGGTTAGAATGTCTGACCATTGTGTGGCTCTCCATATGGGTCTGCAGGGCTAAGCAATAGGCGTTATCGCCTTTCTTTGGTTCAGATTTGCTTTCCTGCTGATCACCTCACTTCCCCTTCATACTAGAGCACACACTCATAGGGGAGAGGCAAATAGCACTTTGCTCTGAGTGCCTGGCTTAGACTCCACCTTTGTTTGCTCTGGGGCTGATAGCTCGACTCCCTTCCAGCTTGCCTTCCCCTTGGTGAAATTAAAGTCCCCAAGGACACAGTATCTCCCAGGGTAGATACATTTGTGAACACAGTGAACTAGAGCAGCCCTTTACTCTAAGGACTCCAGGCTAACTTCCATTACTCATTTCCTTTGAATTTCATCTGTAGCTTTTGTCTAACAAGAGAAACCCCAGAGTGGCAGGGTGCCAGAATTAGACTAATCACACTTCTGTCCTTGGCCCTGATCTACCTCCCAGCACCAGTGCCCTGTCCGTTTCTTGCCTGGAGGGGTGTGGTGTGCTTGGGGAACCTCTAGCATGGAGGATGGTAGCATTCTAACCAAACTTAATTCACAGTTGAAGCTATTGTCAGCCATATTCTCATGTGTCCGAATTGCTGTTGTTTTCTCTTCCTTTTTCCCTGGGATCATTGCTTCCTGGATAGTGGAGAATTCTATTACCTGAAGGAAGGGTCTCAGGGTATATCCTCCAAGCTGGGCAGAGGTGGGTAGGCTGAAAGATCACACCACATCTGGGCATGTTACACCTAGGATGATTAGAATAGCCTAAAACAATGTTTCCCTGGTTTGCAGAAGTCAATGCCATTCAATCTTTTGGCAGGACTGATGGACAGGCATTTTGCATAGGTTCTGATTTGAAGGGAAATCAGGCGTGCTTCCTTTTCCCTTTAAACATTGTAAGAGATCTTGATTCAGCAAAGCTTTTGCTTCATTTTAAAGAGAACTGACCCTCTGGGGGAGGGGGGAGGAAAAACACACAGGAGAATAGGCACTGCCCCCCCTCCCCCCAATGGGTAGAGGTGTGTCTGAACGCTTTTGCTGGGACTCCCATCTTGGGTTCTGCTTTTGCTACAGGCTTGTTTAATGTGCACATGTTCTGGTGAGGCACCAAGATGTGTTTTATCCCTTTTCAGCCTCGAGAAAAATTATGTTGTAAATGCTGATGTGTGGGAGAAACTGCCCTAGCCAGCTTGTTGTCATGGAAACTTTGCACCCCACCCCCATAGTCTGTTATCTTCTACTCCTTTTGGGTGACTACTGGTGAGCTTGAAGGGGACTGAGATTAAAGAGCTTCCTCCAAATCTGGTTCCATGCTTTTTTTTTTTAGTTCTAGGCATATGTGTGTGTGATAAATTATACTGGCAGTGTTTCATAGCTCTTGCCTGATAGCCTGAATTGTTCTTGTAATCTTGACTTTTTGAATTTGTGGGGTGAAATGTGTGATGTTCTAGGAGACATCTGTTTTCCTAGAAGGGACAAAACCAGAGAATACTTGGCTTTGTGGTGTTTTGAATGGTGTAGTTAGAGGCACAAATGGTTTCTTGTAAATTCAGCTTCTGTAGACTTCTCCGTTTTCTTTTCTTCTAGGGTGGTAGTTATTTATACACATCCCCCTCCCACCCAGTCTGGTCCCTTGAACTTCCCATGTTTGTATTGGGAAATTTTTGTGTCAAGTAACCTGATTTTAAAATTTTATTTATTGATGAGAGAGAGAGAGAGAGACATCAAGTTGTTGTAACATTTATTTATGCATTCATTGGTGGTTTCTTGTATGTGGCCTGACTGGGAATCAAACCCGCAACCTTGGTGTATCAGGATGATCCTGCAACCAGCT